AAATACATATTCCTATCTAATTCTTAAAAAGTATTTTTATTATTCTTTTCTCCTAAAAGTTCTTTTTATATTTTTTAAATTTTATTTTTGATTAGCATATATTAATTACGAATATTAATGAGCTTCAGTGTGATATCTCAATGCATGTATACTGCATTCACTGAGCAATTCTAACCTCCCTTTATGCACCCCACTTCTTACCCTTTAATAATCACTCTTCGACATTCTGTTTTAATTTTTTTTTTGCTTTCACATATAAAGGAGTGAACAGGATTTTATGAATATTAATTTTAAAGGAGAGGGGAACTGAAGACCATAAGAATGTGATTTCCCAGGGTTATCAAATGATTTATGGGCAGAGGTGGGTTTTATTTATTTTTTATTTAAAAAACTTATTTTCAACACACATAGAAAAAACAAAAAAAGTTATATGTATTGATGAGTAGTGTTTAAATAAGGTTAAGTCTACTTATCTCCTCACTTATAATGCATTTCTTTTGAAAAGTTCCAAAATATTTTCTTCCAGGATTTTGAAATGCATGGTATATTATTGTTATCTACAGTCACCATACTGTCTGATAGCACAACAGAAATTCTTGTTTCCATTTATTTGAAAGAATACCCATTAATCAATCTTTTCCCTTTCTCTCACCACTCTTCCCAGACTCTGGTAACCACCATTCTATTCCCAATGCCTATGAGGCCAACTTTTTTTTATATTGGACATATGCGTGAGATCATGCAATGCTTGCCTTTCTGTACCTGGTTTATATCACTTAATATAACTATCACCAGTTCCATACATATTGCCACAAATTATAGGATTCCAATCTTTTTATGTATGAATAGCATTTCATGGTGTGTATTTGCCTTATTTTGTTTATGCATTCATCAGTTGATAGAAACCTAGGTTGACTCCACTTTTTGGTTATGGTGAATAGTGCTTAAGTAAACATGACAGTGCAGATGTCTTATCACATACTGACTTAAATTCCTTTTCATAAATAGCCTGTAGTGAGATTGCTAGATCATATGGCAGTTATGTTTTCAGTTTTTAAAGGAACATCCATATTGTTTTCTATAATGGCTGCACTAGTTTACGTTCCTACCAGTGGTGTACAATGATTCTCTTTTCTTCACATCCTCATCAGTACTTGTTATCTTTATTCTTTTTGAAAATAGCTATTCTTTGTGGAGTGAGGTGATATCTTATTTTGATTTTAATTAGATCAAGGTTACTAATTTTACTCTATCATATACTATGAAAAATGGTAACTAAAAGGGGCTGCAAAATATTTTACAGTAAAAGGATATGGTTCAAAGATAAATAGTATTTACACTAAAGTGGCATGGAAGTCAACCATATCCAAAGTGTAATAGGTGTCACCTGTCCCACCAGAAATAGTTCAATAGGATGGAGCCATAGAACAGAGTCAATGATTTGTGAGAGAGAGAAAAAAAATAGACCAATCACCATACTTCCAAGATTTACGGTTTAATATTTCCTGAAAAAGAATGAATTTTGTAATCAAAGGAATATATGGTTCTTTAAGCTGGTTGATGACATTTTGTCTGAATTATGTTTCTCCTTCCCTGACCCCTCCCTCACTGAATAAAAATTTATCCTTCTCCAAAGAAAGCATATCAAATAAACAAGCATATTTGTGTTAAATTGAAGACATTCTACAGCATCAAGTATTTATTTTTCTGAAAGCAATCTTCTTACTGAATACTTCCTATTCTATTATTTCTATCTAGTGGAAATACATCATGAGTATTTAAACCTCAAAATGAGCTAGATTCTAAATCTACACTTCATGTTTCTCAGCTCAGTCTCCTTTCCAAATTATATCTATATCTATATTCCGGTTCATTTTTCTCACTTTTATAGTCTGGGATGAGAACTATACATTTGGTAGTTCTTGACCTATTTTTGAATTTTGTCATGTTTTTAACTTTTGCCTTTGCCCAGGAGGAATAACCACTTTAGATCAAATCACATTACAATTATTTTTTTGTAAACTGAATCCAAATTGGGTCATAGTGCTATTTTTGTCTCTGATCAACTTAAAAGTAGGTATTTTTCAACTAATTTTGCTTTTATGCATCTTGTTTCCAGATACATTTGCTTTTATTCTAAGAGTTTTGTCAACTACAATTCTAGAATATAGCTAATGTTATAGTGTCCTGCTCAACAACTGTTTTCAATTTATTCTTGAATAAAATACTTTAAAATATTTTCTCTCACTTTTCCAGTTCCACTGGCCCCGAATTATCATGTTGAAATGACTTCCAACCGTTCAAGTGTTTTAATTTTAATTCATTTTTCTTTCCTCCATCCAGACCACTAGATTTCAACAAGACTAGACAATATACAATTCAATATCCTATGTCAAGAACAACAACAACAACAACAAAAAACTGACACTCACAGATGGAAAGCAACTTTTCCAAGGTCATACAACTTGACAGTAGCTGAGCCTGAATTAGAACTCAAGACTTAAAATGTTTTGCAACAGGACCATTTCCACCCTATGTTAATGTCTGTAAAATTAATGTCTGGCTGGGCATTTTGGCACATACTTATAATCCCAGTGGCTCAAGAGGCTGAGGCAGGAGGATCACGAGTTCAAAGACAGCCACAGCAAGTGAGTGAGGCACTAAGCAACTCAGTAAAACCCTGTCTCTAAATAAAATACAAGATAGGGCTGGGGATGTGGCTCAGTGGTTGAGTGCCCCTAAGTTCAATCCCTGGTACCACATACATACAAATTAATGTCTGATTCATATGTGTTATTTTAACTCCCAAAATATTCATAATATTCTGATTATGTTAACCTTTAAATTGAGTTTTTGTGGAAATAAAGATAATGAAATCTACCTTCATCCTTATCATTTCATATCATGCTCCCTGCTCATAAAAGATGTATTCATTTCCTTGTATAGCAGAAAGCACATTAACAAAACATTTTAATTTGGATTAATGGCACCACTTAGAAAAGAAGGATGGATCAAATACTGTAACTGATCTTCATAACAGCTCCAAGGAAAGGGCAAGAGCTGTAGTTACAGCCATGTTGTGTTATGAATGCTTTGAAAATGTAATTATATGAGTGTTTCTGGACAAGACATTAGAACCAAGGTGATCAAGTCAACAATACAGATAAAAAAATAAAAATTGAAAGCACAAAGACACAAATATACAAACACACACACATATACACAAAGCCATCATTTTACTGAAATATTGTTAGAATTATTTTTCAAAGTATTCACATTTTTCATTTTCTAAAGTAGGAAACTCCCAGGATTTCCAAATAGTCATATAAACTTTTCATGTTTATGAATTAGGACAAAAATCACATGGTATTTTAATGATATTTGCAGGAAGCATGATATGAAATGATAATTCAACAACAAAGTAGCATAAGAAAGCATGTTTATGGAACATAGAAACTTTTGTTGTTTTTTTCCAAAAGAAATATGCAACCAAAGATTAAAGTAAGAATGGTTACAAACTCCTATGCATTAAATAAAACTCACTGTTTCTAGAACAAATTTATATGTCTGAGAGAATGATATATTCTTAAGAAAAACAGAGTATTGGCTCATAGCTCCTATGAAGTCAATCATTTGCCCTTAAAGTCTGTATGCAGCCCTTGGGGTAAATGCAAAACTGAGATACTTAAAATCTTGCTCAGAAAAAAGTAATGGTATATATGAAAATTAGTATATCAATTAACAGAGCCAGTTTATTTTTGTTTAGATACACACATATTTTCTGAGACACTAAAATGCCATTCTGCTAATAAATTCCTGTTTGTGACTAGCTTTTAAACCACTCAAAGATAGTTCTATCTAATGGCAATAAGAATTTCATAGAAGAATAATTTCTAAAAGCCAATGTCTCTGACTTTTTTATTCAATTGAAGAATAACTGTATATATTGAAAACAAAAATTGAGAACATTATCTAGAAAAGTCAATGATTAGAGTACCTGTCCCTCAATTATGTGAACAGGTCATCAGAGAGAATATTTCAAGTGGAAGGGAAGCTAAATTATTGAGATAATTGCTTCAATTTTCCCACTCATTTTTAATGTGTAAGCACAATATTTGTGTTCTCTATTGAAAACATTTTTTTGCTACTTGTTGATATTACTGATGGATTCTGGCTTCTCTTCATGGCAATTACTCAAAACTGAGAGTATATATTTTAGAATAAAAGGAAGGAAAACTTGGAAACTGAAACAAAAATGTTTGTGAAGGAGGATGTTAGTATCTAAAACTACATTCATGCATTCAATCAATGTACTGGATATATGGGGGACTAATTAAAGATAAAAACCTCCTACGTCTTAGTATTGACCCTCTTATTACAGGAAATAGGAATATATAACTAAACCAGCTGCCTAGGTGAGTCTTTTTTACTGGTCAGAACTATTGGTATTTGGGAACTATCATAGCAAATTATAGAAAATAGCAGTTGAGTTTCTTAAGTATATAATAGTTTGCAATCATGTATTTTACTTGAATTGTCTTCTGATATTATTTGCATACCATGTAAAGTGATAGATAACTATTTCCACCAAAAGTCTTGATAAAAGCAGTCCTTGTCTGTTATTTTCATATAGCACAACCAAAAATATGGGCATTTCAAGATCTGTACAAATGGCTATTGGGTAGACCTATTGGACTGAAACATTTCTGTGGAGCACATTTAAAAAAATAGCTGGCTATATATAGACTGATTGAGTCTTGGTAAGATTAAATGAATGCACTTTCCCACTTGTTTTAAAAACTTTTCCTCACCAAAATGCATGCTAACATTTATGGAATTTCTATACAACTATTTTGATACAGTTACTAGGATGACTAAATTGACAAAATTACCATAGTTGGTATGCATAGCGTCATCAGTTACTCAAATTTTTAGGCAATTATTACTGACAAAAACTTTACATCCTCCTAAAAACATTCATGAAATTGTGAAAGGGAAAGCAACATATTTCCTTTTTCATGAATTTGCATCTCATCCTTGTGTGGGGACCATGCTAATCTTCTCTATATTGTTCCAATTTTAGTATATGTGCTGCCAAAACAAGCACAAGCATCATATTTTAATGAAGAAAAGAGTTGTTTTTTTTTTTCAAATCTTAATGTATTTCAGTGGACTCATTTGCTTGAATTAATGGTATTTTTTTTCACAATTGGCCACTTTTCCAAGGCAGACAAACATTCTGTAATGGTGTGATAGTAAATGGACAAAACTACCTCTTTGAAAAAAAATATTTGTACCCTTTACCGATTTATGTAACATTTTCTGCCACTATGGCTGATTTTAAACCATCAAGGTAACCATCAAAGTGCTATCACTGTATTTAGAGTTGGGAAGAAATGCACAAAATTAGTTCTCAGCAGTTGGTATGATCTGGCAGGAGCATACTATTGGCTGTGGGGTTTCAAGCTATAGCTACCAAATGGTAAGTAAGGCCCAATCCCACTCACTACTCACTGCCTCATACAATCAAATCCAGGATTGCTTTTAGGAACTGGAACACAGAAGAGAAAAAGGGAATTCATATAAAGCTTCTCTTAGGAGCTGACATCTAAGCTGAGTTTTATAGAATAAGGTTGTGGATTACTCTTTGATAAACTTCCCAAGGGATGTTCAACTGGGACAGAATAGTAGTTGAGCCTGGAGGGATAGTCAACCATACAGCCTGAGAAGAATTTGGATGGTGTGATGAGGTGCTTGGATATTTCACAAGTTGTTAATGGAGAGCCATGTGAAGTTTGGAAATTATTGGATTCAGGGCTGATAACACATTTTATGAGGGGGCAGGTACCAGGCAAACTGTAAACCTGTTAACAAATAATTTTCTTTGATATAAAGCAAAAACAGTTTTAATAAAGGTAGAAGCTTGACTTATTGAATTATTTTCTAGCTTCTTTTCACATATATACAACTATATTCATTGTAAGGTTCATGAGTTGAATATGAAAGTTTAGGATGTTACCAATTACACAGATGTCTCTGAATAATCAATCATGTGGTGGTACTGAGAAGCAAAATACATAAGTGTATTATTGAATGCTTCAATATCCATTTGAAGGATGATTTTATGTCAGTATATTTTCACCTGATGTCTGAAATAAATATAAAAGAAAACAACAAAATTTTATATATTGAAATTCTAAGCATATGCAAAATCAAGGTAAATGTAAACATTTAAAAATTTTATCATTTCACTTTTCAGCATATAGAAAACCCATATATTTCTAAATTTATTCAGCATGTGCAAATTATTCACACATTTATGTCCCTGTTTTGCAAAAGTGTGATTGAAGGTTCTGAGTACTCAGAAATATTCTAATTATGAATGAATACTTGTACTACTTTATGAATACTGGGGACTGAATTACAGTTTATTGAAATGCATAGTAATATGATGCACACTATGTAATATGGATATTATGCATAGTAATATGCTAAATAAATTTGGATTTGGTTATGATCTATAGATTTGAGACATTGTGTTATATCCCTAAGTCAACTTCTAATAATCAACCCCTCGGTTATCAACATAGGTATATCTCCACTCTAAAAGTGAGTAAAATAGCACTTTTTCTTTGGAAAGTGTTTGAAGAATTGGCTTTATGTATCATAAAACAAAATGTGCCCATTTGAGTATTAAATATGCTGAAAGTAATTCATACAATTTACTAGTATTAGCAGACAAGCTGCAAAATTATGTAAAAGCATTTCTGCATATAAAACATCTATAGCATGGAGAAAAAATTGGTTACCTTACTAAAATTTTCTTGGTCTATGTCTAATCTTTAATAAATAATATTTTAATGTTATTCTATCCAAAATATTTGGTTAAAAGAAGAGAAGAATGCTGGGAGCAGTGGCATATGCTTGTAATCCCAGCAGTTTAGGAGGCTGAGGGAGGAAGATTGGGATTTCAAAGCCAGCCTTGCAACTTGGCGAGGCTGTAAGCAACTCAGTGAGACCTTGTGTCTAGATGAAAGACAAAAGAGGGTTGGGGATGTGGCTCATTGGCTAAGCACCCATGGGTTCAGTCCCTGTTACCAAAGGAAAAATTGACCCTGATCCCTGATGTAAGCACTGGGGACCCCAGGAAATGCTACCCAGCTGAGCATTCTCCTTCTCTTGCATCCTATCCAGGTAGAGCGTTTCAGGGTGTCAAGTGCCTTGGTCTGAAGGGTTGAGTTTCTGCTTCTCAAGGGAGGTGCAGGTTCCCCAAGTGTAAAAAGGAGTACAATAGATCTGAGTGCACATGCCATCACATATTGGGAGAGAGCCATAGAAAAACACACTTTTTCTAAGAGCCAGAGGTATGGTTGTAAGGCAGAGGTTCTCCCCTGTACTCCCTTTACTTAGTTGTGTGCCATCTCTAAGAGTTGTGGGCCTTGGTTTAAGGGAGGCATTCTCACCTTAGAAAAAAGAAAGGTTGGCTGGGCACGGTGGTGCACACCTGTAATCCCAGCAGTTCAGGAGGCTGAGGATTGTGAGTTCAAAGACAGCCTCAGCAACTTAGCGAGGACCTAAGCAACATAACTACACCCTGTCTCTAAATAAAATACAAAAAGGACTGGGGATGTGGCTCATTGGTTAATTGCCCCTGGGTTCAGTACCAAAAAAAAAAAAAGTGAGAGAGAGGAAAGCTAATATGCATAGGGGAGAACGATCTCTTACAGTTGGAGACCATTACAAAAAAAAATGGTAAGTGTATTCTGCACTAAGCTTCAGTAACAATATAAAAAATCTCCATCATTAAATACAACCATGGGTTATAATTTGCTCATTCTACATGCCTGATACAAAGTCAATGAGATGGGGGATTTTGGGGAGGTTCACAGTTCACTGGATGTTCTGCCATCTTGCAATGCCACTATTTCAACTGGGAGATTTCAGAATACCAATGTCAGGGAATGAAAAACAAAACAGATATTTTTTTCTAATCTTAATTACCTTAGAGGAGAAGTGATATAAATTGTTTCCACTCATGTTTAATTGAACAAATTTGATCAAATTGCCCCACCTTACTCCATGGTAACTTGGGAGTACAATTGTCCATGTACCCACCTTAGAGAGGTGAACTGGCTACAGGTCATTGCTGTTATACCATAGAGAATAAATGACCAATTTGTTAAATATATGAAGTCAAGCAGAAAAACTCAATAACTACACTAGAATGTGTGTTCAGATTCTGTGCTGTGTAGGTCCAAATACCACATTTATATGAATTTATATCTCAAGTGACTATGATAATCTATAGAAGAGTTGGAATTGTTTGAGTGGAATTAATAACTTCACTAAAACTTCAAAAATACTAGATTTATTAGACAAGAAAGACAATATAATAAATTGATTACAAATACACTAGTTTAATGTAATTCCCTGTTTTTCCTCTCCTGGTTGAAACTTTTTCTTGTTGGATAACAAACTGAATTGATACAGCCAACTCAGGGAAGCTGTCAATGTTTCACTTACTTTTACCATAAATTTCATCTAGCTTTCTGGATCACATAATCTATATTGTTTTGGTATCTACTAAAACATAACTCAAGAGTTGTAGAGCACCTTAGAAAATAACCAGTCTAGGTATGGTACTGGTAAAGTATCACTCTCTGATCCCCTGCCTATGGCAAATATTTTGCTATTTATTTCTGTAGGCTTAAAAGTGAGCTGACAACCATGAAGATAATTTACCATACATATTATGTGTTTACACTATAAAGCTAATCTACTATTAATGTTATATGAATTATCTAATCCATTTCTTATAGCAATTCTATAAGGTAGGCATTATTCTTCTTTTACAGGTAAAGGAATTGAGGCTTAGAGATATTAAGTAATATGCTAATGGTATGTAATCGGTAAGTGCAAGAGTTGACTCCATATCCAGTGTTCTTAATCACTGCTCTTAGCTATTATGATACAGTGCAATTATGACCAAGTCCAGTGACAACACTGAACCAGAATGAACCAGTATATTTAGAATCTTTCTGAACACAGTGACTTGAAAAACCACTTCCAATTAGTGGTAATTGCCAAGGGAATTGAAAATTACTTTCTTTCCCTGACAATTCCCTTAATTTACATAAGAAAATTGAGGTCCAGAGAAAAAAATTGTCCAAGGTTATCCCTGGGGAAATAATGTTTGAAATAAGAACAGGAGAACACAGCAGATTCAGGAATCTCAGGCTGTTTCACCAGATTATCCATTGACATCTTGGCACTAGTAATGACACTATTTCAGAAATTAGGAATGCTTGGTTCTTATCTGATAAAGAACCTGTGTTTGTATGAGGAGGCATGGCTCTGGGCATGGAGTAGTCAAGTTTTTCTAGAAGACTCAGGGAACACATCTTCAATGTTTTCTCATAACATGTTTAGTCATACACAATATGTGTACTGTCGGTCATTCTGAATTTCTGAGGTCAGGGACTACTTTTATTGGACTACTCCCAATTTGGCTAAATTGTTTGGTGCTTCAGGTCAGTGTCAAAGCTGACTCAGAGAAGAGGAGAAACAATAAAGTTGTAGAAAGGAAAATGCCACAGATGAGGAAGAGAAGAGAAGAAATAGAAAGGAGAAATAAAATGGAAAATGGGTAAAATTATAAAAACATATTGGCATTTGTGAGTAAAGAGAGGCTTCATAAAACCTTGAGCTGAAGTTAAAGTTATTTTTTCCTCAAATTGAACACACATCTCACTTCAGCAGGGAGGCTTTGGCTTCTTCAGTGCTTGTCAGTGCAAGATCTCATTTTGCTTCCTTAATTACCACATTTGCATGGCCTGGATTTCACCTCTTCCCACTTAACCATCTTCTAGTTTGCTAGGTCATGTGTTTGGGGCCCTGAAGTGTACCAAGGACCCTTGGAGGTAAGCTAAGTGCCTGTTGTCTCTCACAACTGACTAGTAACACCCCTCTTCTGATGATTTCACATGTACCCTCCTGAACAGCAATGAGAGCTGTCTTTGTATGAGGGGTTTCAGGTTTAGAAAGCACTCAAATCTTTTTAAGCAAACTCTAGGTTTCTAAAATATTATGGGTTACAAGAAATAAGGG